CCGCGGGGAGGGGACTGCTCCTGCGGGCGGTGGCGCCGGGCAGCCTCTCCTCCTGCGCAGCGACGACGGTGGAGCGCGCGGTGGCCGCGAGGATCCGCCGCCCGGAGCGCCGCCCCTTCTGTCCGCGTCAGTCTGCCCGCTTCCCACCTGCGCTCCCGCCCTGGCTCCGCCCCCTTCCCCTCCCCCGGCCTTCCCGCCCCCTCCCGATTTTCCCGGAGATCGAACACCAGGGGAGGGAAGACCCGTGCGGGGTACGCGGGAGCCCCGCGGGACTTGTGTCTGCGCCCCCCCGCGTCCCCGCACGCAGCCCCCGGGGGTCTGTCCCGCAACTGCCCACACAGCTCCGTGGGCAGAAATGCGCGTTTCACCTTTGTTCTCAGAGGGTGGCGCGCAGTATTCAAACTGAGCTCTTGGTGAATGGGTGAATGCTGCTTGCACCCCGCGATGTCTCAGGACGCTTCCCGGGGCGCACTGCATGGTGGCTAACGCGCAGAAGCGCTTCACGCATCGATAGGAACAACTCCTAGAACAAGTATTTCACAGTATTAAGGATAGTACCATTTACGTGCAGTTTTAAGCATGGAAACAGTACTGTTCACTCACAGACGCCGTTTGACTTGTGTCCAGCGTCCACTGCATATACTGGACCCTGTTCCACACACGTGCGAAGGACGGACAGACAAAGCAGCCAGGTGTCCTGGTGGAGCGAGCGCTCCTGCGTGCATAGCACACACAGCAGCGGAGGGCAAGGCAGAGTGCATTCAAAGCAGCGCTGCCAGGACTTAGGGAAAGGCAGGGAGAGGGCTGAGCGGAGGAGGGAGAGCTTCCGTCACTGAGAGGTGGCGTCTGCCACCCCTGAGGCGTGAGGCAGTACCAATGGGCAAGCCAGGCGAGCAGGAGGCCAGCCTGACGGCTCATGGGGATCAGGGGCCTTACAGACGACTGACTCGAAGTGACGTCAGGGCCACAGGGGAGCCTGCTTTAGAGGGGTCCGCAAGAGTGGGCTGTGGAACCACAGGATGGAGGCCCCTCCCATCCCGGCCCTAAGCACAGACACTGCTCCAAACAGCTGCTGGGATGGGCATGGGGGTGGGCACCGCCTTGGGGCCCTAGAGGCGCCCAGCTCTGGTGGGAAAGCAGACACGGAGACAGGCCAGTTCCAAGGTGACCCCGTGTGCATCATACTCACCTTGTGAACAGGCAGGAGGGGCTTCACTGTGACCTGGGCCATCATGAAGGCTCCAGAAAGAAGCAGGTGTTGGATGACCAGGAGGCAGCTGGCTTGACACTTGGGTGGCAGTCAGGCGGTTAGTTATCACGAGACAGAGCTCCAGGAACCAGGAGACTGGCCAGGTGTTGATTTGATAGGGAGGGGATACAGGGGCTGCCCGAGGACCCCTCCTGCGAGTCTTGCCCAAGAACATCCAGGAAAGACGTTCTGGCTTGGAGGAGGTCAGAAGATGAAAGTCATAGGATGGTAGGTGTTTACAGTCAGACGGGGCCTTGAAGGCTATCAGCACCACAGCTGTGCGTCAAGTCACCCTGGAACGTAGCGGCTTAAATAAGAGCATTTATTTTGCTGGTGAATTTGGAATTTGGGCAAGGCCTGGAGTGGACACCCTGCCCTGCTCCACTCAGCCTTCAGCTGGGGTGGCTCACACACATGTGTGTGGTACAAGGTCCGGGGCTCGGGACCTGGGAGCAGCACCGTCTGCGGTGACAGGGGCTTACTAAGCTCAGGACCCTGAGGTGGAGGTGAGCCTGGATTACTCAGGTGGCCCTAAACATCGCCACAAGGGTCCTTAGAAGGGGGGAGAGGGGTCAGAACAGGATGGAGCAGCTGCCCCAGGCGGGAGGGGACCTGGGGCCACGAGCCTAGGGGGGGCAGGTGGCTTCCAGACCTGGAAGAGGCAGGGAGGCAGGTTCGCCCTTAGACACCCTTCCCACGCCTTGACTGTAGCCTGGTGAACCCCATTTTGGACACCTGGCTCCAGAGTCATACGGGAATAAGTGGTGGTGTTTAAGTCATGATACACCGTGGGGTTCGAGGGCTCTGACAAGGAGGACTTCCAGCGGGAGAAGAAAGGTGAGGGAACCAGAAGACATCACCCTGAATGTGCCTCTATCACATAAAAATTATTTTGAGCTGAAGGCAATTAAGAAGAAAAAGCTCCCTCTTTCTGCCTAAAAACGGAAAATCCTCCTTTGACTAGAGACAGACCTTCCCCGCCCCAGGGAGGCGCCAGCAGCCTCTGCAGACCTCACCCTTTACTTTCGTCCCGTGTACGCCCCTTCCCGCCGGTAGCCGCCCTTCGGGGCTGAGATGGCTTTCCTGGGTCCCGCCCCGGCTCTGGGAGGCCTCTGTCCTCCGCTGAGACGCTGCCCATGCTGTGTGATATGTGATGTGTGCTGCACATTAATGAACCGTGTCTCGTTCCTCTGTCTACTGTACGAGGGCCTCAGCCCAGAGCTCAGGGAGAAGAGGGGACATCTCCTCCTCCCTCCAAGGCGAGGTGTCCCCTCCGCGCAGCCCTCACTTTGGGCACGGAGGAACAGGACGGGTGAGAAACATGGTCGGTGGGGCAGCACCAGCCCAGCCCCTGAAAACTCGCCATCTCCCCCAACACCATCCCCAGGAGGGTGAGAAGTAAATCCAGAAGCGGCTGGTGGTCGTGGAGATGCCTGTTTGCCCATCTGCCCAAAATGGAGAGTAATTCCTAACATTTTCTGACAGGAGGTGAGTCTGATTTGGTTGGTCGCTTTGAAAACAAGGCCTGGCCCTGCCAGCCGGGGCACCTGTGTGTGTCGGGGAGAAGGCACACGGTGTCCGAGTGTTCTGTCCACGCTGCCCTGCAGCTGGGGCCCAGGCAGGCTCGGCGGGGGAAGCTCAGGAGGGTCACAGGGCAGGGAGCCACGTGAGTCATGATCAGCTCATGACCACCCCCCTCCCCTGCTCCCCCGCCCAGAGGAGGACTGAGGACCAGGAGGCTAGTCCACGGGACCAGAGCAGACTTAGGTCTCCTCCAAGGCCTGCGTGTCGAGCTGTGGGGACAGAGATCGTCAGAGTCCCCCAGGAACCCCCACCCCTCCAGGAGCCCAAGCAGTGCAGCCACAGCGTGGGGGTCACTGCTGTCCAGCTGAGGATGCCGACAGACAACTTGTACATCCGCGCGGGCCTGAGGACGCCTGCAGCAGCTGAACTCTGCAGGGAGCGATCGTCTGGATCAGGGTATTTTTAAACATAATTTAATCTAGCTCTTGCAAAGGCAGTTATGAAAAGATGAGGAAATCTGTCTTCTACCGGTCTGAGGACAATCAGAGGGTCTGGACCAATTATTACCGACATTAAGAAGCTAATTTATTAAAACAGTGATGATAAATGCCTGTTGTCTTCCCTGATACCAACCTCCTTCCTGCTTCTTGTAAAGCGTTTGAAGATCCTAAGACCTGTCACGCTGGCAGCGGGTAGGGGGCTCATCGGGCCATCGGTCCTCATCGCCTGCCCCTGGTGTCCCCACCACGCTCAGGTGGCCTTCTGTGGCCCGCACACATCTGCCTCCTCCCCGCCTGCTGAGGGGGCCGGGGCCTGGTGACTGCAGGGCCAGGGCCTGGAGCTGCAGCAGCAGAGTCTGGCCTGGGCACCGGCTCACCACCCTCTTCCTTCAGTCACCACCTCTCAGCACCAGGCTTTGGCTCTGGAGAAACCACCAGTGGGCAGAATCACAGGGACTCCTGCCCATCCACCCCTCCCTGCCCTGGCCTCCCTCCTCCAAGGAGGAATGTCATAGGCTCCAGCTTGCACAGGGGAGAGGATGAAGAGTGTAGAATTTAGCTTCTTAAATTATGATCAGGGTGATTTAAAAATACATGACCCAGCAACCCAAGAAGGGAGTGTGGGCCCTGGGTGCTGTGCCAGCATGCGGGCCCCTGCTGCCGCAGTGGGCCAGAGCGCGCCAGGGAACTGGCCCCGGGGCCGGACGAAGGCGGGTGTGAGGAAGTGCCACCGGGCCACCCCGGCACTCACTCAGTCCTGTGAGGAAACCAAGCTCATCCTGGCACCCTGCCTTTTGTTCCCTGCTTGGAGCCGCATGGAGCTCGTGGGGGCGCCCAGAAAAGCCTTGTTGACAGAGATGGAATGAGCATGGTCCCCACACCCTGATCAGCACCTGCTCCTGCCAGGTCGGTGTCTCTGCCGACCTGGGGGAGATCGTGGAGGAGGACCCGTCCCCTCCTCCTGTTTGTTTGAGCAGAGAGTGGGCACCAGGCCCCTGAAACCAGGACCAGCTCTAAAAAGAGAGGGGTTAAAAGACTTCGGGAGTCAGCAGGAAGCCCGTTCGTCAGCACAGGCCCGGTCGGTTCCAGGTCCACAGCCACTGGCCGCTGTGCAGGCAAGGAGCACGAGTGACAGCCTGGTGTGGGCCTCGGGGGGCCAGGGCAGTGCAGACACAAAAACACCAGTCGCCTGTAAGCAGATAGCCCTGAGGTGCGCTGGGGATGAATAATGCAGACCAGGCTGGGAGATGCAGGGCCCCGCCTGCCTGTGCCCGGCGGGGCGGCGGGGCCAGACGGGAGATGTTCTCTGAGGCACCAGTGTTTCCAACCACAAATGCTGTGGGGGCTTCCCTGGAAGATCGTGCAGCCACCGTCTCCCGCCCCTCGGATGAGCCCTCGCAGGGAGACTCTCCTCCCAAGGCTCAGTCTCCGTGCCCGCAGGAAGCGGGGGCCCAGCCCTGACCCCCATAAGGGCACCTCCCGGCCCTGGGGGTGCAGCCCCGCCGCCTCCTGTGACGTGCAGGCCTGGCCTCCGCGCCCACGGC